ACTACCCACTTCCTGAGAAAGAATGAATGCAAATTAAAGCATAATGTTTTTCACTTCTTCATTTTACAATATGGGTAACATGGAAATGTTTTGCATGATTTCACATGTATAATTGATACTGCATTTCTTGCCATCACAATGGGTAGAGAAGGAGGGGGTGTCAGGGAGAGAACTGAGAACTCAAATTTTAAAAAGAATGTTAATAACAAATAATAATTTTAAAAGGCATTATACTAAAAAAAAAAACTTTGGTCTTCCCTCAGCCCAAAATAAAGGTGGCCACAACAGCACACACAGTGTAGTAATAGTATCATGACCTGTTTTCTACCTTATGTTGCCATTGCATAGAGAAATGGAACTTTGGAGGGGATGAAGAAGCAATATATTTGGAGTTCTAACAGTTACTTTTAGAACTATTCTGGGAAGAATTCTAAGATTACAACTTTTGAATTAATAACAATAATAAATATTTGGGCATATTTGATTTCTTTCAACAAGACATGACCCTCAGGAGAAAGAATGAATTATTAATATAAATCACTGCTGCCCTAAGAATTCTGAGGCACTTTCATCCGTGATGTTTGGTCAACAAAACGGTATTATTAAGCATTTTTTAACCTGCTTACAACCACATCAAGCACTGCTGCAAAACAATCCATTTGTTTACGCTGACCCCCAAAAACAAATAGTCCAAATATAGGTAAGGCAAAGTAAGTTATTTGCAGTAGAGTTGTAAATGTTTCCCTAAAGGAGAAAACAGCTTGAAATGGTTAAAAAAAATTAAACTAAAAAGTAAATGCCAAACACAACTGATCTTCTTCAAAAGGACCTTTATTCAGATCTACAGTTTTAACATTCATCTCCACAAACCTGTACATACTCCTCCAGAAAGCTAAAGTATGACTGATTTTGTTAATATAGATGGATATTGACAGTTATTAAATATTATAAAAATAAATCCATTTCACTAAAGCATTTTCATAGTCTGACATTTTCATGCAACATTGATAAAATGAACACAGTGTTTGAAAGAATCAACCAAGCACAGCAGTTATGTAAGGCAAAAAAAGCGGCTCCATAAGAGTGTAACTCAGGATGTGTGCTGGCATTCTGGGTAGAAGCAAAAGCATATTTTTTTCCACATGCTATAAAAACATACCCAAATCAATTTTCTGTGTTCTATCCACTCATTTTACAGAGAATTAAGTATTGCTCAAGTATACCATGCCTCAAGATACATGGTTTTACTTTTCTTCAAAAGAGGCGAAGTAACAATTTACCAAATTACGTATTGTTCTTTAGTCTTCATACCAAGGGGATGAAAAAGGAGTGGTGCTTTCATGTTGGAAAAAAATTGACAGTAAGTACGTGGAAGATAATAAAAACAGAATAAATTTAGGAAATGTTAGAAAAGAGTGAGTTAGTGTGCTGTGCCTATAATTACAAACCATGTTATCATGTGTCAACTACCAGCAAGCTATATACTGGTGATTCAAAGTCTTTTGTAACCATTTAGGTTATAGAAAAGATCTTTGGAAGATTAAAAAAAAATCCAAATGTTGAGGCATAAGAAAATCAGGATTTTCCAAAGATTTTTCCATTGATGACTCTTTTTCTTTTCTATTGACACATTGCTTCACATCCAGTTTTTAAATCCTAAGATAGAAAACTTAGCACCCCAGATTAGAAGTAACAAGAATATTTTTAACCCTGGAAAGCTTTTATCGATTTGAAACTTCTAAATAATTTTAACACGTCCTTCATTTCCAGTCTTTTCCCAAAGAGAAAAGACTCCAAAATTACAGGATCATAAGATTTAGAACTGGAAAGGTCCTTAGGTGGGGAAAATGAGACCCAGAAAGGGCAAGTGACTTGCCCAAGATCACAAAGCAAGTTAGTGGCAGAAGCAGGATTTAAACTTAGGTCTTCTGACCCTAATTCTGGGGTTCTTTCCACTATACCAATTACCTCTTGAGTTGTTTCTGCAAGACATTTTACAAAAAAAGTGTGAGCAGATCTTTTTTTCCATTGATTTTATTGTTTCACATTTCATTACTTAGACCTACTAGGCACTAAGACACAGCAACTCAGCCTGGCAAGCATTCCATTCCCCATGGCTCAATAGCTTTCCTTGCTGGTAACAGAAGGGTTGTTCCAACAATTACTGCACAACAACACTAACAGACATTTGTTGAATGTTTTTAAGGGGCATGATGGTGAACGAGAGGCTTCCCAGGATGCTTTTACCTATCATATTCTTCACTACAGCCATCCTGATATTTGGAATTCATTTCCACTACATCAGATGGGCTATTTAAGGAAGAATTATGAGTCTGAACACCCAAAGGGAAAATTATGAGCAAGGAAAAAGGGAAGTTCATCTTCCAAGTATTCCTGCGAAGTGCAAACAACTAAAGGTATCCTTGGTGCTGATCTATTTGGTTTTGTTTTGTTCTGTTTTTTCTATTTCTCTGTTTCAGGGAACTGTAACATACATTTATAATTGGTCTATGTTTAAAGTCTCAAGAACCACAAAGTATTTTGGCACTCTTTCCCAAAATCACTTTGTTTCACTTATAGGCCTTTTATAGAGGTATGAAGTATTTCGGAGGTGTCTTGGTTTCTGTGGCAGCCTTAGAGGCAAGGTGGGAAGAGTACAAACTTCCATGGTCTCTCCGTCAGTTTTATCTCCCTGAACTGAGGCAAGTACTCCCAAGGTAAAAGTGCTGCTTATTCTTAAGGACTTCACTGTGTCCTTGGCTTTAGCTCCTTAGAAAGCAGTATTTCACTTAGGAAGACCCACCAGGCTGCCCCATACAAACACTGTGTTGGCCACTATAATGTAAACAATATTAAAGTCAAATAAAACAAAAGAAAAATTTGTCCAGTCTTCCTAGACAGCTTTTTTGTTAGATCTATGAAACATTGAATGGCTCAACAAAATTAATTTGCAGTTTATACAAAAGCATACAGTAATTATGCCTAGAGAAAAATCAACAATGTGGCCTGATTTTTAGTTTCAATTGGGAAAAATGACCAAAAAAAATTAGCCTTAGGGGTAAGGGATGTAGTCTAAAGATATTTTAAGGTATCTAATGCAATTGTTTTGACCTATCATGAACATGTTATTTTGCAAAATAATGAAATTTGGGGGATTTTTATAAATGTCTACTAAACATATGTCAGTATTCAAAATACAAATATACAATTTCTGCATAAGCCAAAAATCATCATTAGAAAGCATGATCATACTTCAAAGGAACTTTTATCATTAAAATTCTAATAAAGAACAGTTTGCTTTATCCTGATCTTTTACAAGAATGATGATAAACTTTAGGTGTCACTACTTTCACATGTTAAGCATTTTATAGGTATGGATATGAAAAAAGCATTAAACAAGAAATATAAAATAGAGATTAAAACCTTATTAACGTCCTTTGCTACTTTCTTTTTCTTTTAAAAGAAAGTACGTAGGAACCAGTATTTTTAGCAGGGCTACATTATCTTAATTATGCGTCTTCAAGCCCTCCAAATACCAAATTATTTATTACAAGGTTGATTACCTGACAATATAAGGAACCCACTTTTGTTACAGCTAGGGATTAGGATAAGGATTCTACTGGACCTGTGATTTTTACTGGCATAGGGAACTCCCAGGGGAGGAAACTCCCTCTACCAAAGCAGGATGTATCTTCTCTGTAACTTATAGCTTTCATGTTGCCTAGAGCACTGAGAGGTTAAATGACTTGCCAAGTCACAGCCAATATGTGTCAGAGGCAGGACTCAAAATCAGTGTTTTTGGGCTTCAATGCTAGCTTTCTTTGCCATGCTGCTTCTCTCTTCAAAACAGCAAGATAAATAAAACATTGTTCATTGCCCCCAAAATACAGTGAATGTGAATGTACTTTGGGCATATATCTTTATTTGTCTTTGATTTTTTTTACTTACCTGCATGCTTAGACAATGATCCCACCATGACTGTAACTTTCCTCACTTGAAGTGCCTGGCTTTACACACACACAAAATATTCCCCCTGCCTTCTTTACTATATTTTATACTGGCAGATACTTCAAAACCTACTTTGTGAAAAATATCATGCACATGAATCCTCAAATGCATTTAGAAATCAACCTTCAAGTTCATTTTAAGAATATGTAAAGTTGTTGGTATAGGGAACAGCAGCCATCTTTGAATGACTATAGACTTAGCAATAACACAGCTGCTTTCCAGTTTCTAATGGTTACCAAATTAAAAGCTTTCAAAACAAGTCTTGGCTTTAAAAAGTGTTTTAATTGCAAACATAATATTCAAGCCAAACACAAAACTATAATCCCTTTTCTTCAAAAATGTATGCCTTTGTAACCTAACTCAATAACATTATGTATATATGTATATACATTATGTATATATATATATACAATAAATTGATCTGCAATTCAAATAGCTCTGACATTATATGGCTTTGACATTTCTACACAAAGAAAAATAAGTCACTTTGATGACATATGTGCTTAGACAGATATTATACCTATTATTTCTTAAATAATTCTAGTTACACCATTTTAAGTAAATTCTGCCCTCCCCTACCCCGCTGCCCTCCAACAATCAGATGTGATTCTGTAATGTTTTATAACATGCATATTAAGGGGAAAAAAACCACAATGAGTCTATGAACACATATAAAGCGCTTTCCAAACTGACCAGACACTAGAGGCAAATGCTCTTTCCAGCAATGAAAAGTCAATCTAGAATATAAATAGTACCAAACTCTAAAGGCTTGACTTTTTCCATACACAGCCAAAAGCAGCTTGGGTTTTTTTCTTCCATGTTTCTGTCAACATTTTTAATCATTCTATATTGTAATGATAATGTTTTACTTTGGATAGTACATAGACATTGATTAATGCATACCTTGCTTGTGACCAAAATGCTAATTTAGTTGTTTTGTCATTAGTATTTGTTAAGTAATGCTTACAATACCCCCAAATGACAAAATAATGTAGTTTGGCAGCTTTTTATTCAATTCAGTCTGACATTCTGTGTTTGGTATATATTCACCTCTGGATCACCATCATTTTATGAAGAGTTCTTTACTTCAGTCCTTCATACCTCTGGGGATAGTTTCCAACAGCCATCTCTTCCCCTCTCATATTTATTTATTGTCACTGGTTCAACTTCAGAATACTTGAAGAAACCCTTTTTTGCTTCACTACAGGTAGAAACACCAATGTCTTCCTGTTACTTCTTTAAATGCTGTTACAGAGTTAAGAGGGTGCTTGTAAACTAAACCAGCCACAGTCAACTTCTGTCACATAAAAGGGAATCACAAAGAATTTTCCTTTTTAAAACTTAGTGAAAACTTGATGATTCAAGTGCAGCTTTATGAAGAGAACACAATAGCAATTAAATTTTTGGCAATCAAAAAATTAATCAGAATTAAATCCTTGATCAGTGAATGATGCTATTTCCATTAAAATTGCTGTTATAAAAGCTGGTTTCTGCTATTAACAAAACCAGAGGAGCTGGCTTGAATTGGGGTGTGACTTCTCCATGTCCCCATGTCCTGAAGAATCTGTTCCAATGGTTCAGTATATATCTGGGCAGTCTGAGAAATTTCTGTCAAAGTATCCACCCGAATATAGCCAGTCAGAAGTCCCAGTATATGGATTGATGCCTTGATAAAACCACCTGTAGAAAAAAAAGATTGATATGAAAACATTTCATTGAAGGAGAAAACTATTTCTGCATTGTCCTAGCCTTAGGCTCATCTAGAAAATGATGAGTTTGGAAGAGATGACCTCTGAGTTCCCTTCTGGCTCTAGATTTTTATCCTACAAAATTGAGATAGCTGATTTTCCTACTATTTACAATTTCAGTTCTCCCTCAAATGATCTCTAAAAAAAAAAAAATGCTGCCTAAGATGCCAAATAAATCCAATGAGGTTTACTGACATTTCTGTTTAAATGTAGAACTATTAGCAACACAATGACTTACAAAATGTACAGCTATATTACATGCATGTATATATTTATCTAAATATAAGATTAATTTCACAAGATAAAAGTTTCTTTAATAATATTACCTCAAGAATTTTCATAAATTCATAAATAAAGGCAATAAGAAAAAAATGCAGCCCATAGTTATTTTAAACTTAAGTTTTGGGATCTAAACACAATGACAGGAATTTCCTTGAAACCACATCAGATTTCAGGATGAGCAAAGGGTAGTTGGCCCAGAGGGAGAAGATATTGGGAATCTTCAATAACAAAGGAATCACAATTATTTTAGACTAAATCAACAGCCCCCAGGGCCATCCTCAAGGTCTAAACCTGGTCTAGCTTACTTTCATTTAAGCTGCTGAAAACAGATTAGTCCTATTCTGTGCTATTTTGCTTAGGGGAAGAGAATAAACTTTTATAAGTGCTTTTTATAAATACCATCTCATACAAGAAAGGAATATCTACTATAACATATATGACAAGTGGTTGTCCAATATATACTTGAAGACCTCCACGGAAAAAGAACACACAACCTTTTGAGGCAGCTCATTCCATTTTTGGACAGTGTTAAAGTTTTTCCTGCCTTCAAGCCCAGTTGTCCTCTGCAACTTCGAACCACTGCTCTGCCCCCTCCTCACCTCAGCCCAAAAGAACAAATCTAATCCCTCTTCCACATGACTGCCTTTCAAATTCTTGCAGACAGCTATCCTATCCCCTCAGAGTCCTCTCTTCTGAAGGCTAAAAACACACCAGTTCCTTCAATCCATTCTCACATGACACCGGCCCTTGACCATCTCAATGGTTCCCCTTTGGACCTTTTCCAATATGCCAATGTCCTTTCTCAGTAATGCCTGGCACTGGACACTACCCTCCAGCCAGGTATTAAGAAGGCAGAGTACAGGGGCACTATCACCTTCCTGTTCCCAGAAGCTCTGTGTCCTGAATCTTTTTTGGTTGCATTACACCGCTACTAATTCATACTGAGCTGCCAATCCACCAAAATCCCCAGATCTTTTTCAGAATTGCTGTCTGCTCATTCTTCCTCTGTCTTATGCTTGTAAGTTGATTTCTTTTACCCGAGTTCAAAACTTTACAATTATCCTTACTGAATTTTGTCTTATTAGATATGGCATTAATACCCTGGCTATCCTTTCGGATCCTTTTGGAACTACCTCTCCCAGCTTTGTATCTGCAAATTTGATGATTAGACTATTATTGGTAAAAAAAAAAAAAGCATAGAGCTAAGCAAAGATCCTTAGAGTGCTTCCCTAGAGATACCTCTTGCCACAGTGAAACTGAACCATTACCAGTTACTCTTTGAAGGAGGCTATCTCACCACTTCTGAATTCATGTGACTGTCTTCTCACTTAATTCATCCCTCTCTCTTCTCCTCAAGAAAAGTATAAAGTACTTTGTCAAAAGATCCAAGGGAGAAGTTATATAGATCTTGGGATGCGTTCCACTCTGGAACAGCTTACCCTGGGCTAAACAAGAAATCATAGTTGTTTTAGAGTCTTCCAGCCTTTTAATTAAGAATTTAATAGATTAGCAAAGCAAAATCCTTTCATTTTCATGCGTTTAATATTACATTCCTAATGCAGTGAAACTATGAAACTGAAGATAATCACATACACAAAAACCCCATGAAACATGTTCGAAAGAGGTGTTTACTTAGTTCTAAGGATGAAACAAATCTGACTATATTACTATATTGTATGCATGTTCTCTCAATCTGTTTCTGGATTAAAAAACCAAAAACCTTCAAATTGATGCTTTACTAAGTCTCAAGAGTTAAGAAAGAAAAAGCACAATTTGATGATTAAATTACTAACCTATCTGGTATAAAAGGCAGATTTCAAACATGAATCTTAGGCTTTTAAAAGAATAACGTACAAAGGGGATTAGTCCTAGGAACCAAGAACTGATTTCAGAACATTTTAGTCAAGGGAATGTCATTAACTTCTACTGGATCTTGCAGTGGGGGAAAAATACTTAAAAATACTTAAACTACGGGGTTAGGGGGCTGTAGAAAAAACAGAAATATTCAAAAATGTTTTGTGTAGAAAACAGAAATATTCAAATACCTTATAATAATCTATATTTCAAAACCTGAAACTTAATACAATACAATGAACTAAAATCATTTAATTTCAGATTATTTCTGTTTAACAATGATAAAAAAGAGTCAAACTCAAAACACTGGTAATGTGTGGTAGGGTAATATGTGTGTGTGTGTGTGTGTGTGTGTGTACACAGATATATAGACACACACAAAGCACTCAGCAAGCTTGGTTCTGTAGTGTGTAAATTGATTGAAATGACTGAGGAAACAAAGGTTCAAGCTTCCAAACATTTTGATTTATTAAGCAATGCATACCAATTGCATAACAAATCAGGACCAGGCCTCCTCAGCTTGGCACTGGACCCTAAATGCAGGGAGAGACAGATTTTTATGCATTAAAAAAAAACAATGAACAAGATATAAGCCAGAATACAAGATTAGGTTATCTAATTTCTAACTGGAGGGAAGATTAGGGGCTTTCCAAATTCAGAGGGGGAAAGTGAATAGGTGCAAGTCCCTGAAATACCAAAAAAAAAAGAGGTGTCCCACTCCTAAGTACCTGAATTCAAGAAAAAAAAAAAAAGTAAATAGTAATTGATTGACCAGCATGGGATCAGTTTTCAGATAAGACATATAGGTTGCTTGAGATGTATAATTGTAAGACAACTCTTTGAATCAATCTTTGGATCTGACTAGGTTTCTGGTCAGCGTAACCTAGTCAGAGTATGTCAAAGGGCCACACTTTAGGACCTAGAGGCCACATGTGACCTCCAAGTCACAGGTTTCCCACCCCTGAGTCCTAGGATCCTTAATTAAGGGTCTCCAAGCAACAGGAAGCAGTGGTCCAGCTTCCTAGCCATGGAGAGCTAGGTTCATTCCATATATTAAAGTTTTCTCAAAATTTCCATAGTTGAATAAAGTTTTCTTATAAGACAGAAATTGGAATAGACTGCTAACTGAAAAGAAAGGGAACTGAGGTAGATCCAGAATTGAGTTACAAGATGGAGTCCGTTTGGTTCACACAAATCTCACAATTCCCTCAGTTCATGGCACATAGTAAGTTCTTAATAGAAGCTTTTATCTATCCATATTGGGTTTCTACCTGTATATATCAAGGGACATGATTTGACTTGCGGCATATTCAAATCTCTCAATTACTTTGAGTGCTATAACAGGATTCTACTACACTTAATATAGTAAAATGGGGCAATAATAGCCCCTATCTCCCAGGGCTGTTGTGAGGATCAATTGAGATATAATTTGCAAAACATTTAGCACAGAGCCTGACACATAGTGAGTGCTATATAAATGTTAGATAGTTTTATTATCATCATTATCACTGCTACATAGTCTACCGCATTTTCTGGTTATTATCTCCTGATTGGTATTTCATGTTGCTTCTGTGCACAAGCCATTCCCTGGTAACATGATACAGCCCATTGATGACCACCATGGATCTCTTTGTTTCCCTTGGAGTCACCAGCAATTCTTTGGAGAATGAAGTGTTCCACAACTCACAGTCACACAGTAAGTGGATGAGTACTGCTGCTAAACAGATGGGACTTTGCTTCAGGAAACCATTGAAAGGGACCATTGAAAGTTCGGTGTAATTTCCTCCAATATCCTGGCCCCCTCTTTCTCTCTTGGCCATGCACACTTCATCTGCAGAGTCTGATGTCTGTCCAGTTTTATATCACAATACAGATAATGGGCATTTTTCATCCACTTGATTTTACCTATGGGGACAGTAAAGCTAAACTATTTTGAATGGTTATATATCTCAATAAGTACAGCAATGCCATATGCAAACAGGAAAATCTCCTGGGCTACTGAGCATCTCTCTCTGGGCCCAGTAGTAGATAGTCTCCATTGGCAAACATTTTTGGTACACATACTTCTTTATTCTATCTCTTCCTTAATATGATGAATGGGTTAAAAAATTAACCCTACAGCTCCAGTTAGCAAGCAAATTTGTACAAGCTTAACAGATAACTGGACATATTGTTTGAAGAGAGCTTTCAGGGTAGTTTTTGTTCTGCCAAAAAAAAGTTTTTAGACAACAAATAAGAAATACAGTGGGATCTTGTATCCTCTGCATCTTGCAGTCAATTATGTAAGGACAATTAAGAAATGGTCTACTGTAAAATAACCTTTCTGAAAGCTTGGCTATTCCCTTCTCATATTTTTACCAAGAATACTTTCAATACATGTGTAGAGCGTTTTCATACACATATGGGTTGGTGGAAACACTAGAAAGAGCTGGAATGCCTGCGTTTAAATCCAGAATCTGCCACTTATTAGCTGTGCAACCTTTGGCAAATCATAATTTCTCAGTGCCTCAATTGCCTAGAACTTCACCAAAGGTCATTAAAGTTCTAAATTTATGATCCTTTGATGTCTCCTACATTGATTTATTGGGGGGAGATAGTATTACCATTCATTATTTTTTCAAATAACTTGGTATGTCCCTCTTTCAGATTACTTGAGAATCAATGCGTGCCATAACAACCAAACTACCAAAAAATTATTTTTATAGAGCTAGAAAAAATGACAAAATCATCTGGAAGAACAAAACGTCAAGATTATTAAGGCAATCAATAAAAAAACATGAAGGAAAGTAACCTACC